ACAGGCTCCAGGCTCTGAGCCATCAGCCCAGAGCCCGACGCGGGGCTCGAACTCACGGACCGCGAGATCGTGACCTGGCTGAAGTCGGACGCTTAACCGACTGCGCCACCCAGGCACCCCTAAATACTCTTTTCTAAAGTTGCTTATTTGAGTTGTCCCCGTGTCCTCAGGGTTATTATGCATTTGTAGTACACTTGGGGTCATTTGTTCCTGTTTATATTTCACTTTGTGTCATCTCCACCCCTCCTCTTCCCCAATTGCTTGTTGATTAAAAAATGTTTTCAATAGTAATGATTCTAAAAGTCCGAACCATACAGCCATGTCCCGAGAAGCGTCACTTCCCCGTGCCTTCCACCCGTCCCACTCTCCCACCTTCACACCCTGTGACCAGCCAGGTAACCAGCCTCAGTTAGTTTCTGCTCTATCCCTACAGTATTTCTTTTCACACTTTCCCCTTCTTTACATGACAGGAAGCCTACTATAGATCGCTTTTGCACTTGGCTTTTTATACTTAACAGTTTCTTGGAAATTGCTAGGAGACCTTGTGAGCTATTATGTTATGGTGCTGCTTACTCACCTACAGTTCCGTTTCATCAAGTTCACCATCAGCTTTTGTGAAGTTGTTGAATAGTCTTGCCTCTTGTGCATGAAAAACAGCATGGACTATTTGGGGGAAGTGAAAGGTGGACATCTGGCCAATGCAAGGCTCTGAGGAGGGGAGGTGACGGGATTATGCTGATCAGTGTGGGCCTGGGCCACCTGCCCGAGCCCTAGGCCCAGGTGGGTCAGCACTTAGGCCAGTGGGTACCCTCAAAAATTATTAGGGACTAAGCAGAGAAGGCTTATGGGAGGTAACCACAGTAGTCGAAAACTCGAATTCTTCCTTTCATTTACTCATCTGTGCAGGGTATCGTCTCTCTGTTGTGGGGTTGAAAGGAACAGAGAAGACAGGAGAGAATGGAGAGACAGGCAGAGGCCAGATGAGGGCGAGGGCCCTGGCTTGCTACACTTGGGAGCTGATACCCACAGACCGGACTGGGACAGGGCCAGGGTGAGAAGGCAGGGAGATCAGCAAGGGTGTGGGCAGGGCCTGAACAGAGGCAGTGCCAGAGGGGACTGTCGGGAGGGTGACATCTGGATATGGAGGGACACCAGAAAAAGTCAACGATGCCTCCCAGGCTTCTTGCTTGGTGACCAACGGAGAGAACGAAGGCAGAGGAGCTGGTTTGAGGGAAGCTGAGGGTCTGCAGTGGTAGGCCGTGGGTGTCCTCAGCAGGGAGTGGTGCTTTAAGCTGTGGCTGTGCCTGGAACACCAAAAAATAAGATTCAAAAGTGGGAGTGGCCTGATGGTAAGTGAAAGAAGCCAGGCCCCAAAGGCTACCTGCTGTATGATTCCATTTCCATTACCTTCCTGAAAAGGCAAAACCATAGAGACAGCAAGTGGATCAGGGGTTGTGGGGGCTGGGACCGACTACGAGAGGGCATGAGGGAAACTTAAGGGGGGCTGGCAGCATTCTTTCTCCATGATACCATGACTGTACATGTTTACTAAAACTCATTGAACTGTCACCCCAAAAGGTTGAGTTTTACTGTATGT